ACCAAACACATGCTGAAATTTACTCTCCAGCTTTTCACTGATTAGAATCACTAAGCATATTCCTAATTTTAACAAATGAGTACAGTAAACCCTGAGACTTGTGTTACTACAACTACAAACTGCAGGGATTAGTCTTCATAAATATCTTGAATTTTCTAAATTAAACTGTAAGGTAAACCAAGCTGTAAAACTATTTTACTGCTTGAAGAGAGGCCACAAGATCAAGGGAGGCGAACCTAATGTTCACTATCTTAGCAACTGCTCTCTGTTTTAAAAGAATGACAGCATTATGCCATTAGGTAAAATGTAGCAATACATAGGAAGAATACCTTTATTACATTTTTACTTCATAGTCACTTTTGCTTTCTTTCTATTGGAGGTACACAGCGTTCATTTTAGGTGAATCAGGAGCCAATAAATCTGTGGCAGAATTAACCTATGCATGGCAAAAACACATAAAATACATTCTTCTGTTTTGTAATAAATAAACCTGTAGCATAATAAAGAATAGTGCAAACTACCATTGAAAAAGTTGTATAAATAAAACAACTCATTATACATCAGGAATATTTTGTCCTAATAAGTTTACGATACATAAATTATCCCCCCCTCATTCATACCATAACTTTTGTATTGGAAAGGGACTTTGAAAGTGAATAATATGAAAATCAAATAAACTTTAAAACTGTAGAATTATTTTATATTCAAGTTTTATGGTCTTTTCTTTATAAAGGAGGGTCTGCATGTTTCATATTTACTGTAACAATCTGAAGACAACATTGAGGGCTTCCAAATGACAGCACCATGCACTGTACTAGTAATATATCTATAAACTATATATAATCTCATCAACACAATGCAAAAAAGACATGCAGGAAGAGTCTTGGTTTTCACATTTCACTTTTCATTCAAGTAAGCTTAAAAATATATTTTTCCATTTTCTTTCCCCTATTTTTTAAAACAAACCATGGACCATAAATGACAATCTTTCACCAAAATGTGTAATATAATTCTTTGGTGTGTTTTGAACTCTTCCAGGGGTGGGGTTGGGGAGGATGATGTCTGAAAATAAATTAATTCAACTGTACAAATAAAAGTGTTCACATACAAGTTATTAACAATGACAAGACTACATCAACCACTCAGCACACAAAACATTTCTACAAACCCTGGGGAGGGGGTGTCTTCAGGGTCTCTGAGGATAAATTAGTGCTCTTTAGTATATTTGTATGATGTTTCTGATGGACTACATTTTGCACAGGAGATGTGTTGTACTATCTGAAAATAAATTGACTAAGAGTTATTGTCCTAGGTCCTTGACCTTTTTTATCCTAGCTTGACAGCTCTGGCAAAGGTCACACATTCATCAGTGTTTGGTGGTAACTATAAACCTTTTAAAAATTTTAATATGTATAGCAACTCCTTCCCCTCTTTTAATGTAAATCATATACTTCACACTGTCATTTTCAAACGGAAGAGAGTTTGGTGTGCTCAGTGCTCAGGTGGAAGAAAATGCACTAAAATGAAGTTTCAGGCATTAAAATATACTTTTTTTAAAAAAAGGTTGACACAATAGTATAAAAGAAGAGTTGGCCTGTTTTAAAAACAGCTTTCCGAAAGAAATAAAAATTTGAAAAACAGGCAATGCCATCATCACATCTCCACAGACCTGACTGTGAATGTTGGCATCCCAAAGAACTTATGATCAAAAACATAATCTGTATTACACAAGAAGTCTGGACACAGTAAGAAGGCAGCATCTGAGATTTCAGATTAAAGGAGAAAAAAAAAAAAACCAGAGAGGAAAAAGAAAGCACTTGAATTTCTTCTATTTTATAAAAGATCACAGTTTCATAGTTGTTTATTGCAGCAGCTTTTGTTTCTCTCCATTTTTGCTTACACAATCACAGTAGAATATATGGAGATATATTAAGGTTGCTGCACATAAAAAAAAAAAAAATCACACAAGGCCCTGAAGAAAAAATCCTGTATAAAAATACTGTGATAAGGTGAGATCAGTAATAAAAGCGTGGAAATTTAACACCATAAATATTAGAACTTGAGGGGTTTTTACAAATACTTTTGGACACAGCCAGAGTGCAGGAATCTGTTGGCAGTGCAGCAAGTGTGTGGTTTACAACCAAGAGGCCTTTGCAGAATCAGGGCCTAACAAGAAGGCTCAAAAGCAGTCCACATCATGGTGTCAAAGGCATTGGAAAGGCACTCTGGAAAGTGCAGAGGGCCTGGCTGCTGTATGAAGTTTTGACTTAATGCTCTTCTTCCCCACCTTGAAAAATATAAATACACACACACACACACACACACACACACACACACATATTGTATCGGCAGTGTGTATCTTGATTAAGTAATCTCTCCATTCATTTCCCTTGGCACAATTTGCCCCCAGCCCTGTCCCCCTGTAATGTACAAGTCCAGCTTGGTTGTTTTTTGTTTGTTTCAGAAAAAGGAAAAAAAAAGCCCAAATATCTTAATTAAATTAATTAAATGTACAAACACCATAGGGTTTCATACTGAATAAATAGGGCTAATTAGACCAGTGGCAAGTCTGAGTCATGTGTTTGTCTCAGGCTCGGCATTGTCTCAGGTTAGGAGAGGATCCAAGGACTCCCACTTATTATTTCATCTATTAATAATAATACACTCTAATGTATCGTCCGCACAACATCAGGGTTCCCATACATTTCCTCATCTTCAGACTCGGAGGTGGTTCCGTTGCTGGAAGGTGTGTGGAGGTGGCTGGGGGCCCCACCGGCCTGGCAAACATACCACTCGTTGAGGTTGGTCACCTGAGGGGACAGAGTGCTGGAACGACTCCTAGCTGGGTCCAGCACAGGGGACAAGGGGGCACCCACCGGAGTCCCCACTGCTGAGTAACCAAGGGCTCCTGGAGAAGGTGGGGGGGACTTGCAGTGAATCTTCATGTGCTTCCTCAGAGAGCTCGGGTGAGTGTAAGATTTGTCGCAGCCTCTGATCTTGCAGTAGTAGGGCTTGTCACTGGTGTGGACATGGGAATGTTTCTTTCGATCACTGCTATTGGCAAACTTCCTATCACAGCCATCAAATTCACATTTGAAAGGCTTTTCCCCTGCAACAAAACACAGGAAAGGTAAACAGTGGCTTTCTAGAGACTTCTCACTTGAGAAGAAATCTTGGAGCAGATGCAGGGGTGCATTTTCCCATTCGGCCAAAGACCAACACCCAGCCTTACTCCTAAGCCCAGTTGGTACGTTCCAGGTCCCTTCAGGACCAGCCACTGGCCTGGAGGTTTGGCTTGGACCTGGGTTGTGAGAGGCCAGGTGTCAGACCCTGTAGCACCACAGGGGTCACGGCGAGATCCTCAGGGATAAGGTCCAAGGCGTACCACCAAAACCCACCCGGTACCCCATACTGACTCCTCAATTCCCTCAGGGTCTGAACACCCAAAACACAAGTAGAAGATCCTCTGTCAAGAATGACCCTAATGATACTTCCAAAGCTGCAGATGGGATGAGAATATATGAGAAAAAAAATAAACACATACACTAAAAGTTAGCTGGGCGTGCAGTAAAATGATAATGGTACTTTGTTTGAGAGTCTTCCCAGGGTTTCACTGCTGGGAATGGGCAGCAAGAGAGGATGTGGAATGGGAAAGGAAAGAAAATAAACCAAAGCCTCCTCTGTAGAAATAAAGGCACCTGTGAAACACACAATCACTCCGTAAGATTTGACAAGGCTGGCTTGGCACAGAATAGGCTGTTGGCCTCTGCATTCCACCAGCTTCCTCCACAACATGGACAGAATAGCAGAACAGAACATGGACATGGGTAAAGACCACAGCCTCAGGAAACCTGCCATTTGCCTACTCCCTAAACAAACTTTTAACAGTATTCTCCATTGGTTAATGATCAAAAACACTTTTCTAAAAAAACTGGGGTCTCTTGGCCTATCACCCCTTTAAGCTGGTGTAACTACCTCAGGAACACGATGCCTTAAATACAAGGCCACTAGTCCAGGAAGTGGAAACAATTAAATCAGACAACTGGAGATTCAACCGCAATGCACCTGGTGTTAAAAGGCAAAAGGGAAAAAAACCAGTAACGGTAAATAGTACCTGAGTTTTTCCCCCAGCACCTTAGTATCTATGAACTTGAAGTATTTCAATCCATAATTGAACAAGCCATCCCACTCATATTATAAATAACATTTTCCTCACATTTTAGAGAATTTTAAAATAGCAGCTATTATGGTGACATATCACGTAGAGCAGTTTTCTTTCTTTTGGATCGCTTATTTTTTAAAAGAAACTATTATGAGTTGGCTTGGTGTACATAAATTTCTGAGGTAATTTTTTTTATCCAACCAATTTTTCAGTGTGTGTGTTTAATATTTCACCAATGATAACTGCTTCATCAGAGTTCACTAGCACATCTCAAGGTATCCAGATGCCTGGAATATAACTTTCCTACCTAGAAATATTGCTTAAAAACGAAATTAGACATCATTCAAATACAATTAATGTACAAACACACAAAACCCCCCACAGAACTCAAAAAGATAATCACAACCCTTAAAAATCCTTTGGAGATGAGCTGCAACCAAAGTAAATCCCCTCCCACCAAAACATTAGTGATTTGTCCTGCTGTCCATTATTACACTCTAAGTTGGTGATAATAATTTAACATAACATTCTTTCTTTAAAAAATTATAATCAGCTCTTCAATATGGAGGCTTAAGTGGTTGTATTCACTTTATGCAAATGTGCAAGGTTGCTTGGAATTCTCCTGCCTCCCTGCCCAACCCACACATCCCGCATTGCAAAAAATAAACAGTCTGAACATTGCTGGTTGCGTCCCTGCGTATGAGAAGCAAGAAGACCCTGTTAAGGGAATAGAGGAGATGGAAACAAAGGTGGAAATTAGGGATAAAGGAAAGATGGCCGGAGAGAGCAGAAGAAAAGGAAGTATGATCCGAATGGCCCATGCTGTTTAGAGGGCCCACGGGGCCACTGAGCAGATTCCATCCAACTAGGAAGGCTAAGAGACTCCAGTGTTTACATTTCAGATTCTGACAGAGGGGTCAGTCAGAATTTAACTATGTAGAGTTCTGAGACTTGTGGGAGAGTGAGGGAACGCACTGTGTGCACACAGCCCGGGTCCTGCCAGTTCCTTCCAGAGTCTGGCCTAGAGGCAGGCCATAAACGCAATTGAGGGCACTCGGGTCAGGACCAGGGCCTTCAGGAGTGGCTTGGGGATTAGTCCCTTTGATCAATCTGTTTTGGGATCCCGGATGATCCATAAAAGGGAGAGCTTTGTGGTAGGGAGAGAAGGAAGTGTGGTCGGTCCCTCCCTGAGCACAATGCCCAATGGCTAAGCAGACAAAACTCCAGGCACTGAGCTTCAGCCGGACTGGGTCGTTCAAGCGTCCCTCCGGGAGAATCCTGCATGCTTCACCTGGCAGGACCCACGCTGCCATCAGGAGGAGGGAAGGAAATGCAACTACTCGGCAACTTGGACCAGAAAACAAACCGCCCTCACGTCCCATGGGCCCCCAGGGTCTCCAACTCCCTCCCTACACACCCTCCACAGCCTGCTGTTTGGTGGCGCCTTTGGCCTGTCCCTCAGGGGCCTGAAAGCCAAGATCCGAGAAGGAAAGGGAGGCCTACTCCGGTCCAGAGCCCCGGAAAGGCAGGAAGGCCGAGGCTGCTTGTACCGTGTTTAGGGACCGTTTTAGGGGCCGAAGGGACAGCTTCATTGTCCCTTGCCCTCACCCACTGGGAAGTGCTGGCTGGGCTCAGAAGCAAGCAGCTAGCTTAGCTGGACAGGGGGTGTTAATGACAGCCTGATAGGAAGTTTCCTTTCGGAAAAATCATTAAGGAGGACTGATCTCGAGTAGGGAAAAATGGGGGCTAGGGGAAACGCGCTCCCCGACAGTCCTCTGGGCCTGTGGGATGTCCGCCCAAAGGGCAAGGCCTAGGATGCAGCTGCTGCTCTGTAGTCCCCAACTCCCCCAACCCCCCACCCCCATCCCCGGTCAGCTGCTGGCCGGGCATCAGGGCCCAGGCCCGGGGCTGCCTCCTCGACGCAGCCGCAGATAAATCAGCCAAGTGATTAGTGAATGTAAACTCCGGTTACTTAAGAGTCCTCGGAGGAGTAATATTGTCTGTCCCTATAAATCCCGGCTGCGCTAGCACTCGAGCTCAGCAGCGCTCCCGCCCGACACGGCAGTCGGTTCCAAGCCGACAGGGGCCATCTGAGCGCCCCACGTCGCAGCCCCTCTTCACCCGGCCATGGTACCCTCAAAGGCAGTGACAGGGGCGCATGGGCTGGGAGGGCTCCCCAAGCCGCTGGGGACTCCCATCAATTCCGCAGCGTGGTAGGCCTCACTGATACAGGGGCTCCCTCCTCCTCCACTGAGAACCTCTCCCCACGTAGACAGGACCCGGGCTGGGGGGTGTAGCCCAGGAATAAGGGGTTTGCGTGGGGTGAGCAAGGCGCTGGGTACGAGCCCCCAGCAGTGTTGGGGGGAAGCCAACTTCTCCAGCACCCTGCACTCTGGGGAGTGTGGGACGTGTCCGTGAGGGTGCTGTGTGACAACGCGTGTGAGCGTTGAGTGTGCGAGTGAAAGGAGTGTATATGTGGAACATGAGTTGAGGGCAAGCAATGTCGCAAGAATGGGGTGGGTGTGCATGAGGACGGGGCGTGTGCACTGGTGTGAGCTGCGTGCACATGGCCATTGTGAGTGGGGTGGTTGAGTGCAAGGGCGTGTAGCAAAGCAGGGTGGTCTCTGGGGGACGAGGGCGCGTGCCTCTCACCATCTTCCTCCTGCCTGGGAGGCAAAGGGGTCCCTTCCTCCCCGAGGCGGGGTCACACAAAGCGGCCCCAATACCGCTGCAAATCCCACTCGTGCCTCCCAATGCGCTCCGCCTGCGACTCGTGGCGGGGGGCAGGAGAGGCAGGGGGACGACCAGGCCCCGGCCCCGCCCTTTGCCCGTGACCCTCCCCGGGCTCCGGGGATCGGGCACTTGGGGGGCTGCCGACCGTCCTGGGAGCCTTCCTGCTGCTCCGTCTGCGGCTGTTTCTGCTCCGGGCGGCGGAGGCGGCTGAAGCGCGTGGCCAGTCCCGGTGGAGGTGGCAGGAGCGCTGGAGACTCCGCCGTGCGCGAAGCCGGCGCAGGGCCTGTGTGTGCTATCGAATTACTTATTCGTAGAAAAAAAGGGGAGAGAAAAAAAAAAAGAAGTCACATGTCCGGGTTATACGACTGAGAGGAGAAGCAGCAGAAGGAGGGAAAAATGAAAGCGAGCAGGAGGAGAAGCGGCGGCGGAAGCGGCGCAGGAGGCGGCGGCGGCGGCCGGGGACAGACACCCACCTGTATGAGTGCGCTTGTGGATCTTGAGGTTCTCGGAGCGCGCGAAGACCTTGCCGCAGCCCGGGAAGGGGCAGGGGAAGGGCTTCTCGCCGGTGTGCACGCGGATGTGGTTGATGAGCTTGTACTTGGCCTTGAAGGGCTTGCCCTCGCGCGGACAGTCCTCCCAGAAGCAGACGTGGCTGCTCTGCTCCGGGCCGCCCACGTGCTCCACCGTGACGTGGTTCACCAGCTCGTGCATGGTGCCGAAAGTTTTGGAGCAGGGCTTGGCGCAGCCGGCGGGGGCCGGGGACGGTGGCGGCGGTGGCCCGGTCGCCAGCTCTTCGGGGTCGATCCACTTGCAGATGAGCTCCTGCTTGATTGGCTGCCGCATGTAGCGCAGGAAGGCCCCGGCCGCCCCTGGGAGGTGGGGGTGGTGCGGGGGTTGCGCGGATGCCGGTGGCGGAGCCGGGGGCGGCGCATGGTGCTGCTGCAGGTGGGGCCCGGGCCCAGAGGCCGAGGCCGAGGCCGCGGCCAGGTTCAGGTTTAAGTTCACGGCTCCGTAGCCGTGCAGGGCGGCGGCAGCTGCGGCCGCCACCGCCCCGTAGTGCGCGTCCCCGGAGCGAGGCGCGAAGGGCGGCTCGGCGCGGCCGTACAGCTCGGCCGCCGCGGCTGCAGCGGCCGCCGCCAGCCCCAGGCGCATCTGGCCGTTGAGCGGGTGCGGGTGGCCACCCGGAGCTCCCGGCGCGTCGTGCAGCGCGGGGAAGAGCGCCGGACCGCCGCCGCCGTCCGCGCCCGCGTAGGTGCCGCTGGCGGAGATGAACATGCCGGCCGGGTGGGGAGGCGGGGCCGGGTGCTGGGGGGAGCCGGTGCCCGACCGCTGCTCCCCTCCGAGCGGGGCCCCGTGCATGACCGCCGCGGGGGCCGTGGCGGAAAGGTCCCTCCGGAGGACGAAGTCCCTGCTGTGGCCTTTGCCGCTGCTGCCGCCGCCGCCACTGTTGGTGGTGGTGTAGCCCGAGAGGACAGGAGGAGGAGGAGGAGGAGGAGGAGGGGGCGGGGGAGGGGGAGGAGGGGGAGGGGAGGGAGGAAGAGGTGGGGCTGGGGGCGGGGGCGCGGAGGGCTGCGCTCCACATCTGCCCTCACCGGCCGGGTGGGTGCTGGAGCCGGGCTGTGCGACTGCGGTTGCCGTGTACACGGCGGCCGCTGGAGCCTCGGCCTGCGCCGGCAGCGCCTGGGCAGGAAGGCTGTGGCCTGGCGCGCTAGCCTGGGCCATGTGCTCAGGTCCGAGCGCGGGGACGGCAGCGCCGGGGTCAGCGCCCGGGTCCCGCGGGTGGAGATGCGCGACTGAGGCGCGGAGTTGGGAGTGGGCGGGCGGGCAGGCCAGCATCGGGAAGCATGTCATGTTCTGGAGCGGCTGGGCCTGAGCCATTGCCAAATCCGCTAATCTCAGCGCTGGCAGGTTCCTCTTGCTCAAAGGGGGCTCCATCAGAACTACATGATCAGACCCATAGACCCTCACTGGGGGAACTTTTTTCCCTCTTCTCGCCTTCAAAAACATGTATATATTAGGGGCTCTATAACTTCTTTTGTCCTGGTCTCCCAACTCTGCTTATTCCTATTCCCACTCTGTCCTCCAGCGATTGGCAGAGTGAACGCCACATTTGAGCTGCACAGTGGGACCGAGATTTTGGAAATGGTACGGGTGGGATTGGAGGGAGCCGCGTGATTGGCAGCAGCCGCGGCTGTCCGATTGGCTCGCGTTCAGGGCCTCGGCCCAGCAGGGAACCGCCCCCGTGCTCGCGACCGCCTGCGCTTTCACTTCGCTCCCCCGCCTTCCCAGAACCCTGCATCCCCGCCTCCCCGGGGACGCCCGAGTTGCACTTGCAGAAAGTTTGCGCTGGGCCTGCGCGCGCAGTGCCCTACGCTCTGTTGACGCACCTCTCGGAGTGCGCGCGCCAGCACGCAGTCTGGCTGCACCGGGGGGCGAGGGGCAGGAGACCCCCCCAAGGAGCAAAAGGCGACAGAGGACCTGCAACTTCAAAACCCACCTCCTCGCTGCTCACAGCGGCCCTCGCAGCACCCAAGATTCCTTTACCACCTCCTCCTCTCTTGGATGATCCTTGCGCTGCTGTCTGGGAAGAAAAGTGGATATCCCGTCATCATACCTGTACCGGTGATGCTATAAACTTTATTTGGACACCCAGTCTGCCCAGCGCTCATGCGGGGCGCAGACAGGAGACGGAATGAGGAAGATTTATTAAAGTCTATTGGTTGCAAAACAACTTGAGTGATTTGGCTCCGCAAAAACAGGTGAAGTCAAAATAAATCATTTTCCTGAGGAACCGTTTTACTTCGACTTTTTAGCTCATGGAGTTCCTTTCAGCATGGTTCAAAGGAGTTGCCTAGGAGTGTAATCTTTTTTTTTTTTTTTTTTTTTTGGTACCGGGGATCGAACTTGGGACCTTGCGCTTTCGAGGCAGGCACCGGAACCACTGAGCTAAATCCCCAGCCCTATAAGAATTGTAATCTCACTACTCATCGGTTCTAGAGCTGCCACTTTCGATTAGATCTACCGGAGGGGCGGGGCGGCGGGAATATCGGGCAGCAACGCTGTTGCCTTTCGGAGGTGCAGTGGCCAGGCGGACCAAACGGCGTCTCCCCAGAGAGAAGCCGCCCAACAAGCAGTGGCCTTGCAGCAGAATTATCCTCCTGCCCAGAGCTCACTCCACATGTGTGCCCAGATTGTGTGAAAGGGACCCAAGCTAGAATAGATCCAGTGGTGTTTTTAGAGCAAGAAGTAGCTTCGTTACCTGTCTGCTAATAGGATAAGCTTTCACCTCATCATTTTCTAATCAACTGAGATGTCTTATTTGAAAACCATAAAAACCGGCTTTTAAAAGAAGGAAACCCATCCCTTTCCGGCGGTTTGCTACCAAATCAGTTTTTGAAAAATAGAAATGAGTCTTTATGTCACTTTCAGGAGTAGAGAAATGTGAGACCCGAAAAACACAAGTTTTACTGCCCCAAAGGGTCATTTTTCAGAATTAAAAAAATAAACATTTGTAAAACACGTGATGTTCCAAAATGGCAAAAAATTAAAGTCAGAATGTAAAAAGTTTTTCTTTTTTTTCCCTCCACAAATTAATCTTAAAAAAAGCAATAATGAATAGAATGTGATTTTCCCCCCTCCTTTGGGAGATAACAATGAAATATGTCACCAGCTTTACTCGTTTGCTTGTGCTACAAGTAAAATAGATCACACAAAGCCATCATTGGGCAATGGTCCTGGGAAGAAGTGAGAAATATTTCCAAAAGAATTGATTCGCTAGTGCCGTTGACACTGGTGCTTAGTGGAGAGCTTCCCTATGAGCCTTGGAAATGTCATTTCTCTTATAAAACTGACAAGCAAACAAAGAATAATACTATCAAATTTCAGGTGGATTTTTTTCTTTAAGCTTAAATGAAGTTCAAATATAGGGAAATAAAAAAGGCACGAGTGCAAACCCAACAAAAAAAAATGTAATGAGCAACACTGACAAAATCCACATCTGTATTTGAAGAGGATGAGTTCTTTCACCATTTTGTTTCAAAGACTTGAAACATCTCAAGCCAACCACAAAAAGGTCGGTGGAACCAGAAAAAAAAGAAAAAACAAAGGGCCCGGGATTTAGCTCAGTGGTTCTGGCGCCTGCCTTGTAAGGTCACGGTCCCAAGTTCGATCCCCAGTACCAGAAAAAAAAAAAACAAAACAACGAAGGTCGGTGGAGACCCACGCCATCCTTTATAAAGAAAGCATCATATTGGGAATTATCACCACTGTCTTCATTTCCTCTCAAAACATTTCAAATGAGTGGCCTTTATTTGAATTTCTTGGCAGTGAGCATCTATACTTGCAGTAATGGCAGCTTTGAGTTCATTCCTACAGATTATAAGTAAAAACAAAACAACAAAACAAAAACCAAAAAAGAATAAAGAAGAAAATAAATACAACCTAGGCTACAATATGGACTGTTGAGCATTTTTATTGTGCACTAAAATGGGTGCCTCCACCCCCTTCAAAATAGCTTTTCGTCAAAATTATAACTGCTTTGTTTTATTGAATTGCTGAAATTTAATGGTTTAATGGGTGGAGGCATGAAGGAAAGGCTGTAAAAATGTGAATAATGCTGCAGCACAGCCGTGCGGAATCTGGAACCCGCCTCCTTGTACAACTCTTGTTAAACACAGCGTGATATGTATCTGCCATCGATTTAATATGTCTTAATTCACATATAGCTCCCTGATCAATTTTTTTTTATGGAAGCCTTTAAAAATACTTTTTAAGGAAATAACAGATTTGGGTAGTCACTGGGAAGAGGGATATTTACAAAGTGAGTTTAATGAATATTTGCAAATTTATGACCAAACTCAGACCCTAAAAAAGATAATTGACTCAGGTAAATCGACTTGACATGCTAATTCTTAAAAGAAAGGACTGGGAGCAAAATTTCAATCAACACCAATAAGGCGCCAATAAACCTCCTGCCAATTAAACCTGAGAATAGGCCTAGCTAGATGGTCATCAGGAAGGCTCGCAGTGGATTTCCGGGATTGCCTTTCTTTATAAAAGAGCTTTTTATTTTGTAGACGCGCTTTTTGTTATTGTGATGACCTGCCTGACCCCAGGTGCACTGTTTCTTTTTCAAGCTTTTTGGAAGCCAAATCAAACCCCCTTTAATGCTAAGTTTCTAAAGGCCCAATAGCTGTGTCACACTTCCTAAATAAACACCAACAATTTCCAGGGCGTTGAAGAAAATAATGTATTCATTTAAAAAGCAGGGGGCTATAAACATCCAAATGCTAGTTCTCTTTCTGTTGATTTAACCCCAAATTTCGATGGTGGTGCTGGTCATCAGGGCAATGCCCTAAACTCATGCCCTTGTCTGCACTTTTCACAGCAGAGGTGCTTGTACCGAGGCAGCGACGTGGTGAGCCACAGAAATACCCTTTTTGGAGTGGACGCAGGCTTTTGAGGCCATGGATTTCCAGACCTCTGGGTCGCACCCCAACCCCCCCTCCTTCCATCCCTAAACAAAGAGAGGCTGAGGAGGTGAGAGGCACAGTGAATGCCCAGCTGGCTGGTACCCGGCAGCCACGCTCCAGCTCAGTTGCCTGGAGGCCACGGGACTGGTCTCTGGGGATGCTTGGGAGCTCGGCTTCCAGCTGTGTGCAGGGAGGACAGCAGCTCCCCGGCTCAGCGCTGCCCTCGGTTCCTCACTGAACACAGCCAAGTTTCCTGCGATGAGTGTGGGCAATTAAATAAACTCTAAGGGAAGTGAATTGGACATTTCCTGGCTTTTGAGGCTTTGTTTGATTGTTTCTGCAGACAGGGAGAGAGGGCCATTGGGGGACTGTGGGGTGCACAAGAAAGAAGGTGGGGGACCCACCCAGCTGCCTTTTATTGCCCCTGCAATTGCTTTACAACTGGCTGGTCCCGCGTGGTTTCTGAGAGAACGGACTCCTTGCAGAAAGGCTGAGTTCTTGGTGATTTGGGGATGGTGGGGTGATTTTGGCCATGCTGGAGGTGGGTTCAAGGGTGAGCAGGGCACCCAGAGCTACCAGATGAACCCAAGGCCCTGTGAAGCCCAACCCAATGGAGCCAATGGGTGCTTAACTAGGGCCAGGGAGGCAGACTGCCGGAGGACACTGGGCAGGGGGGTGGTCCACGCAGATATCTCTGTAAGATGGGCCAGCTGGGCAAAGCACCATTTTAGTGGACTTCTGTCAGGGCCAGAAGTCATGGGGACTTTAGGCTCAAGGGCTTTTCCCAAATCAGATTCACCAGGAGTGTAGGAAGCAAGGTCCCGAAACACCTCTCCTGGCCCAGCCCACTCTAGCCAAATTGGGCAGGAACTGGATCCTCCACCCTTCCTGAGATCCGCCTTGCAGGAGGCGCTGCTGCTGGGCTCAGGGACCTTATTACTCTTGACTCCCCCTTCGATTTACAGAACTCTTGAGTGCTTCTCCAAGGGTTGCTTCTCTTTCTCACCCTCCTGAGTGCCTGCTGAGTCCTCAGCATACGTGTAGGGGCTGGCTGAATGTATTCAAAAATGTGCATCTTGCTAAAGTTTATGATCTCTGATGCATGCAGAACATAATGAAGATAAGGTAGACGGCCGGACTGAAATGTTGGATTCCAGTGGATTTTTATGTTGTTTGGGTAGTCTAGAATTGGACCCCACTCCTTGTCTACTGGACCTTTATGGCTAAAAGCTGTTGAAAAATTGTCACCTTTTCTACCTCCCCACTACTAAGGAATATGTTGTGTAAAATTGGCCTGTCATCATACTCCTATTTGGTTATCAATCAGTTTTACTCTCAGAGATAGAAGTTGTTGGGGAAAGGCCTTTGACCTGCATTTGACCATCAGGATTGGTAATTTCATGGGAAACACATCACTGTGCTCTAAAATATGCTCAGAAGCTGAAAACAACAACCATAAGGTTCCTGTAAGTGTTTAAGGTTCATATAACCACCTAATATTTATTTCTATTGATCTCAAGAAGTTCTTCTCCCTACATGTCCTATCCTTTAGGGTATTTTAAAACAGGAGACAAAGGATGAACAAGGAGGGTATGCAGTTTTTTAAACCCTCAAATCTGGGGGGAGGAGTCCCCTACTCAACATCTCTTCCAGTATCTATACTTCAATATTTGAAGAAGCTGTTGGGCTAAATCAAACGGTGACACGTTTGATGGATTTACTTGTGTAAGCAATATGGCTGACATATGGCATTGTTATTTATGAATGACAGAATAAATTGTATTACAAAGTCTATTGCAATAATACTGCAGTTTATTGGAAAGCTGCTCGCTTGTCATCGGTATTCAACCTCCCTGGATGTAGTTCGCCTGGGAGCCCAAAGGATAATGGTCCTCAGAATAATTACGTCAGCGAATGCCTCCTGGTTTTTTGTTTTTTTATTTTTCTTTTGTTTTGCAGTAGTGGTAACACTCCCATCAGCAAAGAGGAGATAAGTAAGGACAATTCTCTCCCTTTTTGCAAAACCACAGCCGCTCACCAATGCTGGGGCAAAAGTAGAAGTAGTTGATGACTTTTTTTTTTTTCAGTCTTTCTTTTTACAAATACACACATATTTCCATCCCTATCTCTAAACTGCTGGAGAGCATATATTTTATATGGAGTTTTTTTTAATAAGTCCAGTTTCAGAACAGTAAATTTTAACTGTAGGAAGTTCTTTTAGCAGACTGGAGAGGGCCTTATCTTATGATATTTCCATTCTTACCCCTCTTCTTAAAAATGGCATATAAAAGTTACAACATTTGCTGAGATTTTCACAATTTCCTCTTTTACATTACATTCTTCTGAAGCCCTGACAAAGAACTTTTGTTCTAGGTGGGTTTTGCAGAAGGAGGCTCACCTAGCCTAGGAGTAGCTGAGACCACTGAATCAAAGATGGCCTGCAACTTAATATCCTGTTGATTATCTTGCTGACTTTATGAATCTGAGATGTAAACGACGGTGCTAGAATCCTGCAAAATCCTGACTTTCGTCTGTGTATTCCATACTTGTTTCTCCCATCTCTTCTTCCAGCTCCTCCCCCACCTCCACCCCTTCCCTAAGAAGAAAATTAAAAGTTTGAATGGTATGGTGCCAAGATAGTTTTGCTTCCCAGTTTAACAGTGTAACATATTTGTTTGTGTTAAGGTCTCCTGTCCAGCAGTGTATACTTGTGTATGTGCATGTGTGAGAGCTTGGTGAATGTACAGGTGCTGTATTTATGTATATACACAAAATGCACATCATACTACCAAAGAACTCGGGCAATACCATTCACAGAGGCCCACACGTCAAAAAGAGGTGATCAGCTGATGAGGATTCGGGTGTTAGGTGGGATTTTTTTTTTTTTTTTTAATGCACCACAGATTCTCAATTGTGCTGAGGCTCTCTGGGCTCGTCAGGAAAAGAGCTCGGGCCCGCGCCCAGGGTCCGGATCCTCACCAGCCGCAGGCCTGGGGTTTGCAGGTTGTAGCCACCATTCAATTTTGAAAGAACATTTTTGGGAAACTTACAAAGAGGGAACAAGTTTGCCGTTTGGACACAGTTGTGGGTCCAGCGAGTCTGACACCGTTGCAAATGGGCCCTTCCAGAAACCTGTTGAAAAACAAATTCACTCCTATGTTGCCAAACGAGGCCTGGGTGGTTTTTTTCAGTCAAGGAATGGTCTACTTTTGAGGTAATAACTCTGAAAGCCTTTGCAGCTTTTCCTCACCTAGCTTTCTGCTCCTCTCCCTCCTTCTTTTAAATGTGGTGATGGAAAGAGGTTTTGCGGTTTGCAGAGAAAGCACTTCTGAGAGGGGACGGAGACGTGACTTTGAACTTGGCTCAGCTCCTCTGCGTCCTGCAGCGAGAGGAGAACTGCAGCCGGGAAAGAATAGCCAGGAGGGCCCAGCCCGCGGGGTCTCCGGCGGGAATTAAGGCGTCTGCCCCACCGCCCGGCAGCGCGCGGCCCTCGGAATCCAGCGCGAGTAAGCGCCCAGCCGCGCCGCCCCGAAATGCGGGAGCAGCAAAGGGAGAATCAAAGCGAAAGGAGAGAATGGGTCAGAGAGGAGAGGGAGGGAGGGGTGGGGAGGGGGTGAGAAAGTGGGAAAGGAAGAAAATTTGGAAGTCTGATGACTTGAAAGAAGGAAGGGAAGTGAGGTCTTTAGATTGCAATTCTCACAATCAATTTCTAGGAAAATGTTTTTTGAAAAATTTTTGGAATAAGCCTTTCAAGTCCACTCCTTCATCCCCTTCCCAATATAAATTGACTAAAATAAACAAGTGTGAGACTGCACTGGGTAATTTTTTAAATGGATTTAATGTAGCAAGGCAGCCTCTCTGCCTGGAGATCTCTCTCTCTCTCCCTCCCTCCCTCCCCCCATCCCCCTCCCACTCTCCCTTCCTACCAGTCTAGGGAGCCAGCTTGAAAACTGCCCTATGCCCCTTTTAAACAAGTCATGGAAGGCTAGGATTTCTAGCTTCCAGGCAAACTCCAGCTTTCAGACGAAGTGCCACAGTTTCCCTCTTTCTTGCCCCCTCCAGTGGCGCTCGGAGAGGGGGTGACCGAGGGAGGGCCCAGGGCCCCAAGTGGAAGGAGCTCCCGTCAGCTCCAGCCTAGGCCGAGACTCCCTTACCCTGGGAGAGGCTTTTAGAGCCGGCGAGCTAGTCCGAGTTCGGCCAGCAATTGTGAGCTAGCTTCTTCCCGCGTTTTTGTTGGTTTCATTTTGACACAAAAATATTGAAGTGCATGTTATTCTTCCTTACTAGAATTTTATCCCCACTCCCAGAGATGTGTAAAGGCAATGGCCTCGGCACTTCCCTTCACACCTCCGCTGCCTTCTGGCCCGCAGTTCCCTCTCTAGTTACCTCGGGAGCAGCAGCTTCAGGCGGTGGGACCAGGAAGGTTCGCAGTGGCCAGCGTGGGGCTCGGGGTGCGGTGGGAGCCACAGGGCCGAGTGCCACCGCACAGGCCCCAGCTTCGTGGCCGGACCACTGCCCCTGGAGCACTTTCTGCTCTCCGAGGAGTGATATTTACCTTCTAGACGGCTTAAACCCTACAGTCTGGCTGTTTCTTTTCCCCAGGCCCTGAGTCTGATTCGCAGCCAAACTCAGGCCTGAGCCTTGCTTGGCTGTGCCGGGCGTCCCCACATTTACCGGCCCATCGTGGCAGCGGCCCCAGCTACTGGGCATCCACTCAGACAGTATTTGTAAACCACTTCCAAACAGCCCCTCCCTTGCTGGGGGCCGCTGCCCAGTGTTTACTGCTGCAATCGGAGCAGGGGGCGAGCGGTGGGGGCAGCGAGCGCGCCCAGGGGCCCGTGGGGAACACCGCCCGGCTGGGGGCGGCGTCTGGGTGCGCGTGCAGGGCGCAGGAGGAAGGGGTCAGCCCGGCTTTTCGACCCCACTAGTCCTTCACCTGCGTGTTCAACGCCACAAGGCAGATTCACCAAGGTGGTGGGGAGGCATAGGGAGTGTGCCAACCCGGCAAGAGACCGGCCCTCCGGCCGCTCCCAGTAGCTAGCTTGCGGCCCAACAAGTCCCCACGAGCAGGGCCCCTGCCAGGCGACTTGGCTGCTGCCCACGTCTCGGGCGGCCAGTGTGCCCTGGCTCGGGGTCTCTGGGGTTTTCGGTGTTGCCGGGAGTGGCTTGGATCCTCGGGGAGCGGGTGGACTCCGCGGAAGGTCGGGGAGCCTTCTCGTTCCATGCCAAGGCCCGGCCGAGGGAGACGTGACCCCGCGGCCTGGCCCGGCAGTGCCTGGCGCGGCGGCTCCCGGGGGCGCCGCAGCCAGCCAGGACGAGGATCCGCCGCGCCAGGCGCGCGGGCGAAGCGCCGCAGGCTGGCAGGCTGGGCCCGCGGGCACGAACGGCGGTCGACCGGGCCGAGAGGAGCTCCCGGGGCGGGGGAAGGGGGGCGGGGGGGCCGTGGGGCGGGGGCGCCGGATTGACTAGGCCGCGAAGGCCAATAGCGGAGCCTGCAGAGCGGGCGGGGCGAGAGCCGCCGTTAAAGGGGCGGTGTGACCGGGAGGCCCGGCCTGTAACGGGAGGGAGGGAGGGAGGGAGGGAGGTAGAGAGGAAAGCCGGGGCGGGAGGCGCGGGGGCCGCGGGGGAGGGGAGAGGAAAAGGAGGAGACAAAAAATAAAAAATAAAAGGCTGCTGCTGAGGCGGCAGGGCCCACCGAAATAAACAGAGGCGGCCGCGATTGCAACCCAGAGGGGGAAGCCGCGGGCTCCGCTGCGTCCTAGCGGGGGGGGGGGCACCGGCTCCGGGTCCTGCACCGGGGGCCGACCGGCTAGAAGGGGGCGAGCTAGGGATCACTTTTTTATTGTTATTGTTTTTCAGCCCAGCCTCCCCTCCCCCTCCTAGCCCTCTCCCCTCCCACAGCCCCCTTCCCCCCTCTTGCCCCCCCTCCGGCACAACTTAAAGAAAGAGGGAGCCGCGCGGCTGCTTCCTTCATCTGGGGAAATTCGTGGCCACCACAAGTTTACTACTCCAGGCGCAGCCAATGTCAAGCTCGGAGGACTAAGCTCCGCAGCCGCGGAGCCGAACAATACTCGCAGCGCGCGGGGCGGCGCGGGCAGGGCCGCGGGGGAGGAGGCGGCAGCGGTCGCGCGAGCGATCGGTGAGCGGGGCGCCTGGCCACCTCCTGCCGTTGTCTCAGCGCCCCAGCCGCGGTCAGGTGGAGCCGTGCACGCGCCGGCTTTGGGCGCGGAGAGCTGGACTCGCCTCGGTCCTTCCCTCGCCCGCCCACCGCCCGCTCGGCCTGCGCACCGCCGTCCCCTCGGGCATCGTGGCCCTGCAGCTGCCGTGATTCCGTTCAGCGGGCGCCCTTCGGCGTGGCCCAGCCCCGAGTCTCTGGGGCCGGCGAGCGAGTGAGTGTGTGCGTGCGTGCTTGCGCGAGTGCGCGCAGCGGTGGGGGCTGCGGCGCGGCGCTAGCCCCCCGGTGGCCCCCCTCTCCGCACGGCTCCCCACACCTCCCTCCCGCTCCCTCCTCCCGCCCGCCTTCCCCTGCCCTGCCCGCCCGCCCCCGCCGCAGCTCCTTTAATACAGTTTGGTTCTCCGCCTGGCTTTGGACTCTTCTCCTCCTCCACCTCCTCCTCCTCCTCCCGCGCCTCCTCCGCCGCCGCCTCCTCCTCTTCCTCTCCCTCTCCGCGCCTTCGCTCCGTCCCTGGCCGCCCGAGGCAGATCCAGGCGGCGGCGGAGGCAGCAGGCGCACGAGCGCGGCTCCCGGGGCTGAAGCCTCCACTGCTCCCGCCGCCTGCGCCCGAAGCCCGGCGGCCGGTCGACGCCCCACGCGCGGATCAGGAGCAGAAGCCGAGGCGGCGCGGAAGCGCGGGGCTCGCCGGGGCCGGCGGGGCGGGCGGGCGCGCTGGCCATGCTTCTGGACGCCGGGCCGCAGTTCCCGGCCATCGGGGTGGGCAGCTTCGCGCGCCACCATCACCATTCGGCCGCCGCGGCAGCAGCGGCGGCCGCGGAGATGCAAGACCGCGAACTGAGCCTGGCAGCGGCGCAGAACAGCTTCGTAGACTCGGCCGCGGCGCACATGGGAGCCTTCAAACTCAACCCCGGCGCGCACGAATTGTCCCCCGGCCAGAGCTCAGCATTCACGTCGCAGGGTCCCGGCGCCTACCCGGGCTCCGCTGCGGCTGCCGCTGCAGCCGCGGCACTCGGGCCTCACGCGGCGCACGTTGGCTCCTACTCCGGGCCGCCCTTTAACTCCACCCGAGACTTCCTGTTCCGCAGTCGCGGCTTCGGGGACTCCGCGCCGGGCGGCGGGCAACATGGGCTCTTCGGACCCGGCGCGGGCAGCCTCCACCACGCTCACTCGGACGCGCAGGGCCATCTCCTTTTCCCTGGCCTCCCGGAGCAGCACGGGCCTCACGGCTCGCAGAACGTGCTCAACGGGCAGATGCGCCTCGGGCTGCCGGGTGAGGTGTTCGGGCGCTCAGAGCAGTACCGCCAGGTGGCCAGCCCGCGGACCGACCCCTACTCGGCGGCTCAGCTCCATAACCAGTACGGCCCCATGAATATGAACATGGGTATGAACATGGCAGCTGCCGCGGCCCACCACCACCACCACCACCACCACCCGGGTGCCTTTTTCCGCTACATGCGGCAGCAGTGCATCAAGCAGGAGCTCATCTGCAAGTGGATCGACCCCGAGCAGCTGAGCAACCCTAAGAAGAGCTGCAACAAAACTTTCAGCACCATGCACGAGCTGGTGACCCACGTCTCCGTGGAGCACGTTGGCGGCCCAGAACAGAGCAACCACGTCTGCTTCTGGGAGGAATGTCCGCGCGAAGGCAAGCCCTTCAAGGCCAAATACAAACTGGTCAACCACATCCGTGTACACACGGGCGAGAAGCCCTTCCCCTGCCCCTTCCCGGGCTGCGGCAAGGTCTTCGCGCGCTCCGAGAACCTCAAAATCCACAAAAGGACCCACACAGGTAACCACGGGCAGGGATGCACGAGCCGTGTGTGTGTGTGTGTGTGTGTGTGTGTGTGTGTGTGTGTCCCCGACGCTGGGCGCCAGTCTCCAGCCTGGGCCCTGAGATAGGAGATGGTTTTGTGCGTGAGAGCCAGCGGCTCGGCTTGTTTTTCTTGGACAATGAAAGAGTACTATAGGGCTGGGTTTTTCCATGTGCGGAAATTGAGTTTTAAATGATCAGCGAAACACCAAATGTATGGTCGGGGGTGATGCAAGGGCTTCGTTTACTCAGCCCTGGTTAATAATTTCCGTTCTAACTTAAACGCACAAAATAAAACTGTTCTCTAACTTGGTGCCCGGGAAGCGAGCCTAGAGATTTTGCCAGCTTGTGTGAATGTGCTTTTCGGCTCCGGGTGTATGTCTGTTTGAGCGGCTTGTGTGTTTTCCCACTTCTTCTTACTCGGGGACCAAAAGCCCTTCCGGGGAATGTTTCCCATTAAAAGAGCCTTGTGTGAGTCGAAGCTGTAAAGCATTTCTCATTTTTAAAGTGTTTTAAAAAACCAGTCTGGAGTGGGTCGCGGGGGCTTTACGGTGGTTGCGCAGCAGTTTGTGAAAATCTCTAATGGGCACCAGAGGGTTTGCAATTCCAAACTTGTATCCACAACCCAGTCACCGAGAGCCCCAGGCAGGGCGGCCTTTGCGGGGGGGATTGCGGGAGGAAAGCCGCAAAAGAACGCGCCTCCCGCTTCATAGATTATTCATCTATGACCAGGTCTCAGCCAAATCCGTGCCAGACGATTTCCTAAAAGAAAGCCAAATGTTTTACCAACTTCCCCCGTCAATATTTACTCCGACGTGGGGATGCGCCAGCGGCCTATTGTTCTCTTTCGGGAAGGGAGGGAGCCGAGGTGCGAGACAAGCTTTTAACAAGGTTTAAAATTTGAGAAATTTATTTGCATGAAATGCTTGCTTTCGAGCTCTGTGTCTGAGCGGATGTCTTTAAAAAAACAATTTAGGTGCTAATGGAATTTAACATTAAAGGGCCCCCTTTCCAAGTGGATCGACGTTGGAGTTCTCACACCTCTAAATGACTCCAAGCGTTTGGAATTCTGGCAACAGGATGCGGGGACCGCCAGAAAATTAAACAGATTCTGAAAGGTTTTCCTAACTCCAACCCCCACCTCCCAGCTCGTGCCCCTCTTCATCATTAGAAAGCTGCCTCATCTCTAATATTTATCTTTTCTTTCAACTCATTTTTAAACGAGTGGAGGCGAGGCTAGCATTGTGATAGTTTGCAAAATTTTGGATGAGAAATACTGGCTCAGTCTGTATCTACAGCCCGGCCCCCAAAACAAAACACAGCAACTCCAAATGTAATTGCCTACTGGCCCCAGAGAGAAATCGACAGCAGCCCAGCAGCCTGTGTGATTTTGATAATGCCCCAAATATTTTGTCATAACAACAGCTTCTCTATGGCGAGAGAACAACTTGTTAGATGCTGCGAATCCAGGAAGCCTTGTATTAGAGAGACGGCAGGGCCAGGAGTTACCCAAACCCGTTAGGGATTCGCAGAGACGAGCGTTCCTGAGGAAGAAAGTAAAACATGCAATCAGTGATCAGGACTGTCAGGAGGGAAATTTCGTGTTGGTCCTCCCACGCAGGGGATCCAGTCTGTCCAAGGGATGCGGGGACGCAGTCCCTGTACCCCTCTCCGGCCACACCGAGGCCCTGCCCCTTCGCAGCCCGGGTGGGGACAGGTTCTGGAGTCCTGGTTATCGGCTGCGAGCGAGCGCCAGTGTTTGCCTTCCGTAGGAGAGAAGCCTTTCCAGTGTGAGTTCGAGGGCTGCGACCGGCGCTTCGCCAACAGCAGCGACCGGAAGAAGCACATGCACGTGCACACCTCCGATAAGCCCTATCTCTGCAAGATGTGTGACAAGTCCTACACGCACCCGAGCTCCCTGCGCAAGCACATGAAGGTATCACGCGGTGGCCGGGTGGAGGGCAGGCCTGCCTGGCGCGCTGGCTCCTCGCCGGCCTGGGTAACCTCCGCCAGCCCGGGAGGGCCCCCAGGGGGCCCGGGAGGTTTCTGGGGTGCTCCCCTCTGGGGGGCCGGCCTCACAGCAGCTGCACTCACACCCAGTCCCCTCTGGTCCCCCCTCCCGGCTTTTGTCTTGCAGGTCCATGAGTCC